CCCCCGGCCCCCCCCGGCTCGGGGGCCCCCCCCCGCCGCTCCGGCCGCTCGTCCTTGAGGAAGCTCCGGCTGGACCGCGGGACCGGCGGAGGGTGCAGCAAACGGGGTGCTGCTCTTCTGCCCACCCGCCTGTTTCCTGTTTTCCCCCTTTCCTAGGCATCGCTCTGCTCTTCTGAGAATAACTGCAAGAGCTCTGATCAGTGAGTAGTCACAAATTTTCAAATGTCCGTTTCCAAACCTGCTCCCGCCGTGGCCGAGCGACATTCCCAGAGCAGAGCGCTGACTCTGTGGCCGCCATCCGTTACTGCTGCTTTTGTTGTCACTGAGATCACTACCAGCTTACAAATTTGACTTGGCTGCCTTGCTCTGTAGACGAAGGTGAATGATCCTCTCGTTCAAAACGACACTGAAGTGTCACCTTCTGAGAAGTCAGTGGCCAAAAGCCTCTGTCTGTGGCCAAAAGCATTGAAATCCATTGCATGCAATTCCCTACAAATTCCCCTCCTATTAAAAGGGATTTGAAAATAACTGGGGGAAGCAGGCAGTTGTCTTAGGCTGGCATTTCAGACAGGTACATGGTACCTAGTGGCATCTCATCTCGGTTAACTTTAAATATGTCCTTGATTCCTTTCCTGAGAATCCTGGGTGTGTAGGTCTCCCTCCCAAGCAGCAGTGAAGTACCCCTTTGTAAAAACCTTGATTACCGTGGAATTATTTGCATATTTTCAGCTGTAGTAATTTTACAACTAGAAGAACAGTCCTCTGAAACTAAATCTAAAGGGTTTTTGCTCCATTCTCTCATTAATTGCTTTCCCTTTTCCACCTCAGAAATTGCATGAAACTAATTCCCTGTCATACATTCACTGTTTGCCTGTAGATACTAAAATCAGGGAAACATCTACCTTCCTTCACAGATGCCCTCAGAACATGTCTAATTGGACAAGTCTGTGGTATGTCTGGTAAGTTGATTATTAATCTTACTAACCCAGAATAATTTGAAAGTTATTATGAACAGTAACTGTAGGAAGGTAATGTAAACACTCTTCTCTCAGGACAGAAGAAAGGGTTTCTCCTCAGCTCTATGAAAGCCACCAGAGGAATACATTACAGATGAGAGCAGAGGGGAGATAAGGTGTCAGGCAGGGCACAGCATTCGTCTAGGGATCTGTCATCTTTCCTTTCTGAGAGCACTGCAGTTCAGCTGCAGAGCTTGTTTGTGTTTCCTAAATAGACACTGTGCTCAGCAACCCCACGTGGACCCCCTGCCCAAAGCACAGTCCTCAGTCCTGACACAGGACAAGGGTTTACTGGCTTATAGGTCTGGCTTTTCATCCTGAGCTGTAGCTGATTACAACCCTGTGTACTGGCTGGCTGAATGACTGAAAGGCTGAAAATAGCGATAAGTGAAAAGGTAAGCTCTTGTCACCAGGGGATTTGTCTCTTGCCTAACACATGCACTATAGGTACCCCAACAACATTTTTATAGGCTTGATTCTGCCAATCGATTAACTCTGATGGTGGCACCAAGATTCTGAATCAGCTGCTTTTAGCTGTCATTCATTCTAGAGTAATTTTGGTTGATATTCTTTTCTTTCTTAGAATTGATACATAGAACTGTCTAAAAATAGTTACAAAAAATATTTTAAGAAGGCTTCTGTAATTAGGCAGCTTTAAAATCATGAAAGCTAATGAGCTAGTGCTGAGATTCATACTGCTTCATCAGAGGGCAGCAGCAAACGAAGGCAGGATGATTTCACAGAACACACCAGTGCATGGAGTGTCAGGAAACACTGATGAGCTAGGTGATGAGGTAATACTCCCCACACTGCAGGAATGTTTCATTGCAAAGTTCCAGCAAGGCAGTTCATTCTTCTTATAAGTTGCCTTAAAGCATTTTTCTAAAATAAGAATTTGCAAGAAAATGCATGAAATTTTGGAAGTTTGAGGACCTCAAATCCAGCCTTTATGCTGAGTATAGTTTTGTGTGTGTGACTCTCATACTAACAGAAATATACTCTTGTTAATAACTAAATAAAACAGTTATTAGAGAAGTATTAATTTTGGAATCATAATTATTTTGGGCAAGGGCTACCTTTGGTTTGAAAGAAAAGAACAGAAAGCTACTGAGGCAATTTCTATACATATTTGGGGTGGAATATAATCCTAACTAGAAATCCAGGAGCATGATCTGTCAAGCAGTAATTTATGTCAAGCCACTATGAATATACTTCAACCTTGTCCTTGGACCTACTTGTTTACAGGACTTTCAAACATTTCTTATTGCCTCATATTCTCATGATGTGCCTTATTGCTCTTGAGGAGCTCATGAGAAGGTGAAATCATTTAAGAAACTGAGGGGGAGTAGAAACTAAGGAAAGCAGAATTTCAACTGAGAGGATAACCTGAAACAATAGCACATTGATCTAGGTACACTGCAAATTCTTAGACAATAAACTTCATTAAAAAATAGCTATAGATAGAATTGTGTTTTCAAGACATACTGCAAAATATAATTTCTGTGCTCATTTCTAAATATAGGTCCTAGACTTGGGAAAGTTGTACTTGTACTTCCCTCCAAACACATACCTCCTCTTACTGTTGCAAGTGGAGCTATTCACACTGCATAAAATCTGAGAATACAACCCAAGATCATTAACATTATGGCACCTGTGAGCCAGAGGGGATTGTACCAATGGTCGCTAATAACTTCAACTTGTGATTAAGCCTAGGAGGTCTGGCCTGTCTTTCACCCATTTAGAGTGAAATTATGTTCAGTAAGGAATGAAATGATGCTATTCTCCCTCCTCCTGTAAGGTTAATCTTGCTGATTGTGTTCCTGCTCCTGCTCTGTGGGATTGCAGCAAGCTGCATCAAGCTCTGCCGGAAGAAGAGGCCTCCAGTGGAGACCTTCTCCAGGCACCCCCATGACATGACCATAGACAGTGACAGCACTGCCCACAGCACAGTCACCTGTAAGTATCCCCTGAAGTCAACTGTCCAGTAGTGCTATTTGGCTATACAGTGAGGGAATGCAGCAGAGAAGTAGGATTTAATGCTCTAAAGGTTAAAATAAAGCCTGTGCTGAGTTAACCTCTTATGTGCCATCTCCCACATCTGTTCTTATCACCATTCCCTCATCTTTTCTGCCCATCTTGCTCTTCAACTACTCCAGAATTACCTCTCGTGAGGAATCGTTCACAGCTGTTTATGTACAAACCTGACTAAAACTACCTCTGTTACAACCTACATGTAATATGTCAGGTATTTCACACTAAATACTGGCTGATGATATGCAGAGACATTTTGTCTTATGACTGTTTTCTTTTGGAGAATGTGTTGAATCCATCCCAGGTAATCCTGTGCTGAATGCTTTTAGTATATAGTGCATGTATTCTAACACCACAAAAATGAGTCCATAATTTCTTGGGGAAAAGCAGGATTAGCCCTTTATATACCAGCATTCCATGCAGGCGTTTAATTTTTTCTTTAATTCTTTTCTTCACAGCATACAGCTCTTTGCAGTACCCTCTAAGTGTCATTATTCCTTCAATATTTGTGGATATGGATAAGAACACTGTGTCCCTTCCAGCTTACAGTCTCTATGCAATGGACTTGCCACCTTCCTATGATGAAGCTGTCCAAATGGGCAAATCACACATGGAAGTAGCACGGATAAGCCAGAAACTCAGTGACATCCCTGGGCAGGTGACACCAGGTGGGCTGAGTCCCATCCAGAATTCAATCAACAGAGATCCAGCCACACAGGCAAACTCAGAAAATCCACAAGGTGCAACACATGAACAGCCACAGCTCTGACTCCTTTCAGATGGGGAGTAACAGAAGGGAAGGACTGTATGAGTTAAAGAAGACATGAGGAGTTTGATTTTATAGGCAGGTTTTGATGGAAAGATGTTTCCTCTCACACCCTTGTAATGATCTGTCAGTTTAGAAGCAATGTTTTCTGTGACTGCTGTAGTCTCCTCGTAAAGCTTCTTCAAGAATATGAAAGGAAGTATAAAGGGCTTGTAGCAGTGGGAGAGAAATGCTTGTTCATCTTGGGATTAAAAAAAAAAAAAAAAGAATATTCCTTGTGTCCAGCACATGGCAATAACAAAGATCAGGGGAATTTTGCTATCTTGGGAACGCACACAAAGAGTCAGAACAGTACAAACAGCAAGTTGTTGTTCAGGAACAGAACCTTCCCAGACTGGAGTTGAAAGGGGAGTCCTAGCAAGGCACACTGAACAGCCTCTCTAGTTTCTCTTCTTTTAAGAACATTAACTGCCCAACAAATTGCTGGAGTGCAAATTGCTGCTTAATGACACTGAAACTGAAGGAAAACAGCAAGCAAGAATAGGAAAGTGTGTGGAGGGAATGCAATATGTCCTGTTTCACAACTAGAGACAAGGAATGAGACAGATAAAACACTGTTTTGGTGGTGGTGATGATGATGTGACCTGAAGGGATTGGCTTTGAACTTTTTTTTTTTATATTTAAAACTTCCATTTTCAACATGAGCTGTCTTTTGGGTGGGATCCTCTCACTACTTATTTTTACCAGTTACAGTACAAATTAGACTCAAAGAGACACTTGCACACATGTTTAAGTATTACTAATGTGTTTCAAATATTGATAAAATATTTCAAAGATGCCTTTATACTTTGTTATCTACTCAGGTGTCAGGGACTCAGTCAGTGCAGAAAACCAAAAAATCAAAGGTTCCTGGCAGCATTTGCCAGTTTAGTACTTGGATAAGCTCAGTAATGTGCAGGATGAAACAAAGCATGCTCTAGCTGTGCCTCTAGAGGTTATAAATACAAAATACCATAGTACAGGCTGGGCAATAGTCCAAAGAAATTACGCTTTAGGGATGACACTTCATGAAGTACTGATAGGAAGGGTAACTGCTATGCAGAATTTTAAAACTGGAACCTTATAGCTGATTACAGCTGTCTTGGCCCAGGCGAAAATGTGGGTTATGAGAGGCCTTTTTGATAATGACAGCTCCACTTCCACCCCTCCCATATTAAAAATAGTATTAATTTTGTCCAATTCTGAGTAGTGATTTTCTTTGAATCCACTTCAGCAAGGTGCTAATTTGGCTACCTTTAAGCACATGAGCAATCTACAGGCTGGTTCTTGCTGTGGGATTATCAAGGGGATAAGAGCAGGAAT